TGACAGGACCTCGCAGAATTCTTTTCTTTTTACCTTGTCCAAGACGTACACAGCTGGTGCCATATCCCGTGGTTTACCTTCATCTTGCACCTGCAAATCCTTTCTGATACCCAGGTGTGTCAAATCAATCCTAGATTTTAAGGTATCTTTCGTCTTGCCTTCAATATTAAGAAGTGTGTCGATAATGCTGTCACATATATTTTTCTCGATGTGCATCACATCAAGATTATGCCGCAGATCCAAATCTTTCCAATACTCCAAGTCCCACAAAGTGGACCTGCGGGTAAACAATAATCTCTCTTCTATCCTGCCACGCTTCCTTTTCTCGCTACCATTACCAGGATGGTTTCTTGGTGTAATATGCCTGACCTTCTCTAATTCCACTTGCAACTCATCGGTGGTGAGCCTCTTTGGCGCATCACGGTTTTCATGCTTTGCATTGAACACATGTCTTTGGTATTTTCTAGGACGCGGCTTGTCCTTGGCAAGGAAACGACGGTGTCCAATGTAACAGATCTTGCTAAGTATTGCGTATGGCAGCGGATTCCTGTCACAGCGAACACATGCATTGTAACCATGTGTCGTTCGCCCTGACATAGTGCCCAAAGCCGGATAATCATGGATGCACCAAATTATAACAGCACGCAGAAAGAAATCTGCTGGTGGGCTGCTATATAGGTGTCGAGTGAGAACACCCTTCCATAGCTGTTGAAGTTCCTCCACAAGAGGCTCCATGAACAAATCAAAATCCTTTCCAGGACTTTTTGGACCTAGGATGAGCAAGGCCATCATGTAGTTTGATTCTTTGGTGCAGACATTTGGAGGCATGTTGTAAGGGATAACAAGCACTGGCCACATGCTATATGTGGTGCTCTGGTGGCCAAATGGGTTAAATCCATCTGAAGCTAAGCCAAGTCTAATTTTTCTCTAGTCAGCAACAAACTCTTTGTGTTTATCATTGAAGCTTTTCCACTCACTACCATGAGATGGATGGCTCATTACATTCTGATCTCTGTACTCCTGGTTCCTAGAATGCCACATTACATCCTCTCTTGTTTCAGCATCATGAAACAACCTCTGCAATCTTGGTGTAATTGAAAAATGTCTCAGAACATTATGAGGAATCCTCTTCACAGCAGCGCCATCTTTCCATCTTGATGATTTGCATTTCTGGAATTCACTTAAGTTGGCATAATCCTTACAAACATGGATCATATCATATCCAATTCCAACTGCACGAAGGAAATTCTTCATTTTACTGTAGGTGTGTGGCAGCTCAAACGCATCTGGGAAAGATTCGCGGAAAGCAGCCAACATCACATCGAATGATTTGTTGGTCATCCGCTCAGATGTCTTCACCTGAAGAAAGGTGACCATAGCTGGGAATACTGATAGCTTATTTCCTAGGTGACAGCAACGTTGCATTGTTCCAACATGCGGGCCCATCGTTTTTCTTCTGCAGGTGAAAGTTCACGGAATGCAACGTTGCAAAATTCAAATATGAATAGAACATAAACACTAGCGAAATATTACCCTGGCCAACCTTTTTCATTTCAAGATAACTTGCTAGAGCCGTGTTTTATTTTTTTTACACTGGATGTTTTGTTTCTCACTTTGTAGTTCTTGACTATTATTGGGCATTGCAGGATGATCACATAGAGTCTGATGAAGAGCTCCCTAAGAAGACAAAACGTTACTTTGCTAATGCTGCAGAGACATTTGATGCTGAATTTTATGCTAAGTTCAATGATGATATATACATAAATGTTGGTAAGTATCATCTGTTAACTTTTATTACGTCTGAACAATTTTGTGGGATAAATGGTACTCCTTCCAGTTCAAAATAGTTTATGCATTTTGACTGTACATAATCTTGAGGATCTGACTATGGCTTGTATTATTTACCAAAATATGCTTTTAAAAATTCATGAACTTTAATATTAAGGTATTCTTACGATAAATGTACTTGTATAATTTTTGTTTGGAGTGTATGAGCAACCAAAAATATTATTATTGAACCAGTAGTTACAGACAAAGGGGATTATTATGTTTGGATGAGGAGCTGTATCAATCTACTGATCTGCATGATATGCTTCAAGTATCAATTTGTTATTGCCAATTTAAGTGCTCCAATTTTTTTTGTTGATATGTTATGATGGTAATGAACTTGGGAGTTGGAAAAGGGACTTCAGTTAGCTATTGCATTTCTACAGAATAAAGTAAAACTTTTTTCTTTGAGAAAACGCAGAAGCTTTGCGTTTCTTTGCATTGAAAAGATAGAAGTTCAATTACAGACGTCCGAGGACGCGCAGGTTACAGCATGGTTAGTGCATGTCCTAGGTTTGTGGTAGCACAAGCCGGAGGCCAAGTGCCCCAGCAGCCGCCCAAGAGCAGGCCTCGTCCTTGATCCTTTCGAGTAGCGTATTCATAGATGGTGATGCATTGTCGAAGATGCAGCTATTCCTATGCTTCCAAACCATCCAAGGCACGAGCAGCGCAACGGGTTTCAGGGCTTTGTGAAGGCTCGGTGGCGTGTTCTCTTCGGCATGCTTCCACCAGTCCATGAGCGAGGGCTCGCGGGTGGGAATCGGGGCTGGAATGCGCAGCCAGGCCAGGATCTCGTGCAATGCCTGGCGATCGAAGGGGCATTCCAGCAGTAGGTGTCGGAGCATTTCCGGCTCTTGATTGCATAGGAGACAACAAGGGTGGTGTTGTAGTCCATGGCGAGCCAGCCTCTCAGCAGTCCAGCACTGGTCTTGGTTGGCCAGCCAGTGGAAGAATTTTACTCTCGGCAGCGCCCAACTTTTCTAGATAAGCTTCCAGGAGTAGCAAGTCGTCGATCCATGGAATGTGGCCAAGTAGCTAGATTGGGCGGAGTAGGTGTCGCTCGCCGTCCATTTCCAGATCAGCTGGTCCGGGGCAGCAGAGAGCTCGGTGTGCTGCATTACCTGCGAAAGCTGCAGGTACTGACCAATCTCATGCAGGCCCAGGTTGCCATGAATGTTGCGTGCCCAGGAGTTGACATTCAGCCCGTCCGCCATGGTTCTCGCCATGCGCCGTCGCTTGGGGATGCATAGAGGTTGGGTAGGAGCTCGCAGACGGACTGGCCGTTGATCCACCGGTCCTCCCATAGCAGGGTGGTCAATCCATTCCCAATGACCATGGACGTGCATGGCCAGAAGAGCGCACACTCCATGGACAAGAACTGGAGGTTAAGCCCTTGCCACGCTCGCTTGGGATCTGTTCCGGTGAACCACAGCCAACACAGCCTCCGTGCAAGGCCGGCTCGTTCGAGGTCGCACATGCCTAGACCCCCAAGCTCGACAGGGCGGCAGACGCGGTTCTAGTTCACGTGGCAGTGCCCTCTGTTGGCAGCGGCGCGCCCGGCCCACAAAAGTTCGCACTGAATCTTCTCGAGCTGCTTGATAGCCTTTTTAGGGGGCACGAACACGAGCAGCTGGTGCACCGGGATCATGCACATGACTGATTTAACCAGTGCGAGGCGCCCGGTTTTGGTCATCAGCCAGGCCTTCCAAGTTGGGAGGCGTGCGGCGACCGAATCGACCATGGGCTGCAGCTGGGCGGCTGATGGGTGGTGTGTGGACAGGGGAATGCCGAGGTAGGTGATAGGGAGTGTCACCATTGGGCATCCGAGGTGCGCGATCGTCTCCGTGGCCTCCTAGTCACTGTGCAAGATGGTAGCGGAGCTCTTGGCGAAGTTCACTTGGAGGCCAGAGGCCCTGCGGAACAAGGCGAGGATCTCCTTGACCGCAGTGACGTCGCCAGCCGTGGCATGGCAGAATACCATGACGTCACCGGCGTAAAGCGAGATCGCTTGGGGATGTGTCATCAGGGGTGCAGCGGCTGCAGAATGCCCAAGCTGTGGGCGCGTCTCAGGAGCCGTCCGAGCGTGTTGACGGTGAGCACAAAGAGCTACGGGGACATAGAGTCGCCCTGGCGGAGCCCTTGTCGGTGCCAGATGGGTCGTCTGGGCTTGCTGTTCATTAGAACATGCGTGCTGGAGAAAGCGATTCCCAAATCCATATTGGCGCAAAACCTCGAAGAGGAATGGCCACGATATGGAGTCGAAGGCGCTCGTGAGGTCGAGCTTAAGCATGACTCGTGGAGCTCCCAAATGGTGTAACAGCTTGAGCGACTGCTTGACGAGGGCGTAGTTGTCGTGTAAGCTCCATCCCGAGATGAATGCATTCTGGTTACGGCTGACTGGCGATCCAGCTTGGCGCCGAGGCTCGGAAGCACCTTGGCGAAGAGCTTGGCCACAAGGTGAATAAGGCTGATCGGCCGATAGTCGCGCAGTCCATGGGCTGCGGCGTTCTTTGGGAGCAGCGTCAGAAGCGCTTGGTTCAGCTTGCAGAACCCCCTTCCTCGCAGGTCATAGAGCTGCTGACGCACGTCGAGAAAGTCCTGCCTGACGATGCTCCAGCACGCGCGAAGGAATTCCACTGTGAACCCGTCTGGTTCCGGCGCCTTGTGCGCGAGGAGGCGCTTGACAGCCTCCCAGATCTCCTCTGCACTGAACGGTTCGTCAAGGTCGGCGAGGTCTATCGGTTCAATGAGCTGCGATAGGTCCAGGGAGTGCTCCTGGTCGGCGGCGGTGCTGAGCAGGGCGTCGTGATAGAGGAAGGCTGCCTGCGCCATCTCAGTGTGGTCCGTGAGCACCCTGCCATCCGCAGTAAGGCTAAAGATGCGGTTCTTCTGTCGTCTGAACAAGCACTGCCGGTGGAAGAAGCCCGTGTTAGCGTTGATGTCTTTGAGGTTGGCTATGCGGGGGCGAGAGATTGCGTGATTCCTGGGCCTTGTTGAAGCGAAACTTTTTTATCTGTAAAAAAGTCTATCTGCATGATCTTGGTTTCTGGAATGCATTTTTCGCACTTGCTCGACATGTTTTATAGTCAAATAGCACTTTCAGTATTTTTGCGGGGAAAAGCAGCACCTAACATGGAACAACATATTGTGTTTATGCAGACACTCTGAGTGCAATGCTTGAAACTCACTGGGACAAGCCTCGTGTCTACATAGGCTGTATGAAATCTGGGGAGGTCTTTTCTGAAGCGTGAGTTGTTTGAGCCAGAAGAAATGGGATTTGTGTACCATGTTTGCCTTTTGCATCCTTTTCTTTTTCAGGGAATCGACAATCGCTAACAGCTTCCTTGAAACAGGACCCATAAGTGGTATGAACCGGATTGGTGGAAATTTGGTGACGGGAAATCGTAAGCAACCTGTACTAGTATTTAATCTTAGTACATTGAATGCTCAAGACCACTACGTTGGTGGCTCACCCATTTCATTGTACCAACTCATAGATACTTTCGACATGCTTCTGGTGAAATGTTTGTCGTATCAAGGGTCGTGGCTCAGTTCATTTCTATAAACAGGTACACAACCTATGCTTTGTGCACTAATATTTATTTTGTATTCTAGCATGGATATAGAAGTAGAAAGAAGAGATGTTTTTATAAGTATACATCTAGTGATGTATCTTTGGTGTCACTTTTCAAGGCTAGGTCTGTTCTCCGGACATATGCACATGATGATGTTAGTGTTGGATCGTGGATGATTGGGCTTGCTGTAAAGCATGTAAATGAAGCAAAGCTATGTTGTTCATCATGGCCCTCAGGTTTTACCGTCTCCTTCACTGTACTTATCAGCCTTGTTATTGCTTCCTTTTTTTCCTTGGAACTTGGTATGTGGACGTTATCTTAGAAGTTCATTTTTCTTGTCAAGATTGCATTGTGATGAATGTATCTTTGGTATTCAGGCCATTTATTACCTAGGAACTTTGTTGATGTCTTAGATGGCATGATCTATTTATTCACTTCCCTTATTAGGAATATATCCACATGCGTCATATAATCTCCTGAAAGTTTCATATATATAGGATAGAGAGATTATGAGCTATGTTGAAGAAAATCTTCTGTACTCACTAGAATTGCAATAGGTAACAGGAATAACTTAGTCCTGAGAATACATGCCACCGCTAACAAATACTCCCTCCGTTTCTTTTTAGTCTGCATATAAGGTTTGGTCAAAGTCAAGCTTTGTAAAGTTTGACCAACTTTATATTAAAAAATATCATCATTCACAATATGAAATAAATATTATCAGATGTACCATGAAATGTATTTTCATACTATATAGTTTTAATATTATAGATGTTCATATTTTTTCATATAAATTTGGTCAAACATCGTGTAGTTTGACTTTGACCAAATTTTATACGCGGAGTAAAAAGAAACGGAGGGAGTACCATATACATGCCACACAATTAGATCATGTTACTCGTTGCCGACAACTCTTTCAATGATGTAAGTTGTGTTCTGAGCTAGTAGTTGGGAGCAGTTATTGTATTGGCACTTTACCTGCTGTCATTCAGGGACTGGTTCTGCTTAGATTATGAATCTGGGGTCCCATTGTTATGAAAACTGGGGTCCCATTGTTATGGAAACTTAGAGCCTGTTCGGAATTCCGCCGGCTCCGCAAAATCCCCGGAGCTGCAGAGCCAGGAAACGGCAGCTCCACGATTTTCGATAGTAACTCCCCCCGCTCTGAGAGTGGAGTTGTAGAGCGGAGGTCCTCCAAACAGGGCCTTAGATTATGAATCTGGGGTCTCTTGTTAAATTTGGAATTAGAGTGGATAATTCATAGTTCCTATTTGAATCTGAAACCAAAGGCCGTTGTTGCTTGTTATTTATTCATAGTTCCAATTTGTGGAATTATTTATCTAATAATGATGTGATTTCACAAGTAACTTAGTACTCCCTCCGTCCCATAATATAAGAACGTTTCTAACACTATACTAGTGTCAGAAACATTTTTATATTATGGGATGGAGGGAGTAGTAGATCATTCAAATACTGGATAACGACAAAATTTCACATTGCAGGAGCCATGTGTTCAGCTCTTTGATGGGTAGTGCTTCCCTGAAGAAGGGTTTTGTGAAGAGTGTGTTACACTGAATAGATTTTCGTTTTCTCTTGCCATTTCTTTTTTTCTATGCCATCATTGAGCAAGCAGTGCCGGTTCATAGTGAATGTGGTATCTTCAATGCGAAGGAGAAGTATTGTACCTTTTCCTCGTATGCCGACACTACCTGCCGTAGTTTTTTTGTCATTCCCTAGATCTCCATCAGTACCATTCTTTGCCGACAAACATCACTGTTTGAGTGACAGAAATTAATAGCACTTGAGAAATTATGTTTACTTACGTATCCACATATATTGTTTCGTGATGATGGTTGTGAAATTCGCTACACCTAGTGTGCCATTTTGAACCAAGAAAAACAAAGTTCAAAGGGTACTCTACGCTCATTATGTACCCTGACTTCGTGTCACTAGCACATGGGGCCCACCAAATGCTGGACCTGCCTGTCAACGACCCAAAGTCAAGCTGGGCTAAGTCAGAGAATGTCATTTGGGAGATTTCAGAGTTGTGACGTATTCCTCGATGAATGTTTGGAGGGAAGAATTATGGAAACAAGCTATATATTTTTTTATTCAATGAAGTGCCTGTGTTGTATGATCACAAACTTGAAAACGCCTTGATTATGGTATATCACTAAACATGTGCAAGATTTGACCCGAAGTTCATTTTCTTATTTGTTTACATGAGGTGTGGCGGTGGCAGCTGGGTGGGGGTGGATGCACTTGTCTAGAGAGACTAAGTGAGTTTCTGCAAATGAGTGGGTGGGTGACGTAGGTCTTTATGCAAAAGTACCGCAAATTACCTCACATGTGTTTACTTGTGGATTGGACGGTCAGTACTGCTGGATGGTAGACACACTATCATCAAACCTAGGTCTTGAAACCCTTCTCCAAAGTCCGATTGTTGCTTTCCTTAGATGAAGGGGAGCGGTGGAGGGAGGTTGGGGGTGTGGCGACGGTGATAGGTAGACGAGAGAGACGGATTCAAGTTCTCGAGGAGGCGCAATGGTGGTTCCAGGCAGGAGGTGGTTGAGGGGAGAGATGGGGATGCATCAGGGTGGAGAGGAATGTGCGGATAATGAGTGTAAGAGACCCCCGCTTGAAAGGATAAGACAGATGCTCGAGAGATTCGCAAGGCCCACCAGCCATGTGTCCACTATGCGTGCGACCAACGCAAGGACATTCTAATTGTTATCATTTTAGACGCTTAATATTTTCCATAATTTTAGGTTCACATACTAGTCTCCAGTCTTTTCCCAATCCTCTCCTAGATACGCACCACACGCGCGCGCACACACACACACACGCACACGCACACACGCGCACGCACACACACACACACACATCCCACATGCGTCACACATGCGCCCAAGAACGTTGATGTAGGGCAAAACCCTAGGTGGCCCGATGTTCACGAATTGGAGGTGAATTTGAGGAAGAACACCAGGAACACAAGGGGAAAACACAAGAAGAACACTATAATGGACAAGATCCACACCAAATACTCCTCAAATCACAAGAATACAAAAGGTGCATCAAGATCCAAAGACAACAAGGGAAATAAAGATACAAGGTAGTTCATCCAAATCTCTAGGAGAGATGGGTCTTGATGATTCACCTAGGGAATCCTTCTCCCTTAGGAGGTCTTGATGATTCACTTGTGAATCCTTCTCCCTTTGGAGGCATTGTACTACAATGGAGTCTTCTCTCTCAAGAGGAATCCCACAAGGGGAGATACATGAGCTAAGCTCCAATGTCTAGATTTATTCTTAGCTATCCCCAAATGTAGGAGGAGGAGGAGTATATATAGCCTTGGGAAATGAAGGGGTAAGCAGGGGCGTAATGGGTATTACATGGGCAATCCCAACAGTTGCACACAGGCAGCCCCGTGTGCATGGGATATCCAGAGACCTGGTGACTTAGCCCGTGTGCATGGGGGTGTATCGTGGGCACGGGGTGTCCAGAAGCTTCGCAGGTCGTTGCTGGAACCTTGCCTTCTTCTTGACGGTTCCCTCTCCGCTTCCAAGCCTCTCTCATGGATGGTGTAGGTGCTTGCTTGTGGATGACCTCCTCCATGGCACACTCGTCATTGGGCTCAAACCTATACATGGACACAGTAGGACGATCAAGTAGTATATCACCCTCGAGGGAACCAAGAAGACACGCATTAAGGAAGGAATTCACCGTAGTATGCTTGAAGTAGAAGTTGGGTGTGTCTCTTAGCAATGGAACTCTTGACATGGTGATGTCCATAGGATGCTCCGCATCATCCCCTCCCCATTGGGAAAGATCCATCCTCGGATAAAAAACCAAATCACCATGGAAAAGGCATCACCGTGTAGAAGTGGATGATCACCAAGCATTCACCATCTTGAAGCTCGAAATGGGCACTCTCCAATGTCGCACCGTCTTGTGATTCCTTCAAAAGGAGCAAGGACAACAAACACTTGGAAAAACAAATGTGGTTAGCATTAGTGCCAAACCAAGCATTCATGTGGTGATTCACCCGACAAGTGTTGTCATCATGCATAGCATAAGGTGCGACAAAGAAGTGTGGCATGTCATTTAAGCATATAAATTGAGCACATGTAAAAGGCACCATGGAAATAGTCATGCAAAGGTAAGGTAAAGATGCTAATATGCGTGACAAGTGAATAAGCATCTACCTTCATGTGATAGTAAGCATGCACAAAATGCTCCATGAATGGTCTATGGTAGGAATATGAATCATTCACAACACCAAAGGAAATGAAATGTCTAAATACATGGGGCAAGACAATCCAAGCATAATGTGCATATGGTGCAGTGAAGAGATTGTGGCACTCAACAAATGGAAAGAGTAATTGTTCAGCATGTGTGAGGCAATCAAGAAAAGCATGTATCAATCAATGGGACATGTCATATCTATCATGGCATGTAAGCTAGTAGCGCGAAGATGCAACATATTAGAGGAAATCATGGAAATCATGTCATGTGAGCAAATAATAGGCATATGCAATGCACATGACATATCACAAGCATGAAAACAAAACATGATCAAAGTATCATCATAGGCATGGGGCTCAAATGAAATATGGCAATAATAAGAGATATCGCCACCAAGCATGCACATACGCATACAAGTACTAGAATCAAGGATCATATGAAATGCAATGCATGGATCATAAATGCAGGGCAAAGGCATAGAAATGAGCATATCATGCAAAGTGAACATGGCTAGATGGGCGTAGAATACGTAATGGATAATAACCCGTAACCATGTAAGGGCCATGTAGAGGAAATGCGTGAAGTCCTTGCGCTATGAGGGTGGGTGGAGGATAAGCACTCCATGTGGTGCACGTCTTCATTGCTCTTTAGAGCTTGTTTTGTCAATGCTTGCACTTGCGAGGTTGACGAGGAATCATGTGTACCTACACAATAAGGAGACACACAAAACAAAGTGTGTGCATGGTAAATGTACATATCATCCATCATGATGTGTATGTGCACGTGAGAGTTAGCACAAGACAAAAAATGCTCAAATAAATTTGAGGCATGATAGAGAAACATGTCATCCATCATGAAAGAATAGTTCTTATGTTCAACATGATTGGGACGCAAATTATAGCAAGTGTGTGGCAAAATAATAGCATTTTTAGTCATGGGATGCATATGGTGCACACAATCATGGGAATCATGCAATTCATAGGATGGAGCAAAATCTACTAATAGGTATGGGGGTCTCCTCATGTGTAATAGCGGAAGCATAACACGGAGAAAATTGACAACATAGCAAACAATGCATGTCCGAAGCATGTCCTAAGCTAGGTGGTCATGGCATGTCATATGATAGAAATGATGCAAAGGGAGCATATCAGTATCATCACAAGAAAAACAAATGCCAATAACCATGGGCTTGTCATCTATGCCATATGTGCAAACTGGGTTTATTTTAATGGCATAAGCATAGTTACTACGATGAGATTGCAAATATGACATACAAGTGATCTCATGCATAGCATATGACAAGTCAAGCGGGTTGTCAAACATGATGTGACCAAGACAATTATCACAATAAATCCTATGCAACATAGCATCACAACTAATAGAATCCTCATGGCAATCGTCAAACTTATCATAAATGGGTAACTCATCACATGGGGAAACCACACTAGCATGAGACATGCCAATAGGGAGATCAACGTCATGCAAGCAATCAATATCCACTAGTGCGACAAGAGCATCACCTTCACCTATGTTACCTTTGCCATTCCACTCATGTGGTGTAGGTGAGGTGGAAAAGACCAAATTGTGGTCATATTCATCGTGATGGAACCATGTTGGGGTGCATCATATTCCATCGTGGCCATCATCTTGTCCAAAGGAGGAACGATGTCATCGAGGATCAGAGCATCATCATATATGGGACCTTGCACCAAATGATAAGACACAATAGAGGTAGAGGTTAAGTTGTTAGAAATCGAAGTGGCCTCACACGACCTATTAACTACCTCACTCTCTCTATGTGGTGGTGGCTCACTCACTCCCTGAAAATAGGCGCACTCGAAGTCACATAAGGTGGAGTCACTCATTGAAGGAAATATGCCCTAGAGGCAATAATAAAGTTATTATTTATTTCCTTATATCATGATAAATGTTTATTATTCATGCTAGAATTGTATTAACCGGAAACATAATACATGTGTGAATACATAGACAAACAGAGTGTCACTAGTATGCCTCTACTTGACTAGCTTGTTGATCAAAGATGGTTATGTTTCCTAGCCATAGACATGAGTTGTCATTTGATTAACGGGATCACATCATTAGGAGAATGATGTGATTGACATGACCCATTCTGTTAGCTTAGCACATGATCGTTTAGTATGTTGCTATTGCTTTCTTCATGACTTATACATGTTCCGATGACTATGAGATTATGCAACTCCCGTTTACCGGAGGAACACTTTGTGTGCTACCAAACGTCACAACGTAACTGGGTGATTA